TCTCTGTCTCGGATTAAAATATCAGTAATATGAAAATAATCTATTACTTTTTTAAGGCAAAAATGTATATATAAAAATGGGCTTATACTCAAATTTATTTTCATCAGATTATAACATTCTAGAAAAAATAAAATCGCAGTATTTTTTAAGAGTTATTTGGTTCACTTAGTATGGTGGGCAGGGACTTTCTATACTAACGGGACTTGTCTCTATTGATTTTAATTAAATAACTACGCCTGACATATAAAGCTACCACCCAACAACAAACTTAGTTTACCTCTGATATACGAAGCTAGTAGTTATTTGCGTATTTCAAAGTACATTGTAATTTAATATTTTTTAATATAAAATCTGATAATAGCCATTTACCATGACAAAAAATATAAGATTTTAAAAGAATGTTAAATTATTAAACTGAGACATATCGTTTTGAAGAACACTCCAGTCGTGCTGGGAACAGTATATCTAACGGGAAATGAATCTGATAGGCTTTTCAGTATAAAATTGATAAAATCTCGGACTCCTCGAGACTTCGCGAGATTTATGGATTTTGGTGGCGTCTGACTGATTAACTATCGGAACTGCTCAATAAAGTAACCACATAATTCTAATCGTAAATAAATCCAAGTTTTATCATAAAATAGATATATTTTGTCATATAAAATGACCAAAATAAGCGCGATTTATTTCATGTGAAGTGTTCTATAATGTTTTTGAATTTGGGAATGCAATCGGCGCCATTTGTTTATTATCCTGTTTGCATTCTGTACCATTCTGTGATAAAATGAATGCGATTATAACAAATTTGAAGTGACAGAATACAAGTTCCATACACTGACATCACTGTAAAACTAGTTTGAATGACATTTTATTGATATTATCAGAAATTATTAGGATAATAGAGAGTACGTTTTTAACACATGTCCTTTTCCATATCGTATCTTTATTACCTATGACACGACGATAAAATTGGCTACAATTAGGTAGTGTCAAGTCCTGTCAATATATATGTTCCTGAGTCGTGCAAAAGGGGTTGCATATTGAACAAGATGGCGGCCACTCGAAATTTACTAACAAAATACCTCAAAGTTCAAAAATCTATATTTTAAAAACTATCTGAGAAATCTTTTCAAAAACAGCATTTTGCAATGACAAAGTTGTTAAAATTTCATAAAAATGTAACTTCATTAAACTTGAACATATAGTTTTATTATACTTCATGTCAAAATGCCATATTTTGATTGGCTAATACGAGGGTGTTAATTTACTCTATTATCCTTCATGGAGACGCTTGATCAAGTGTGCGCTTTATTAAATACAACTCTATCCTATGGCAAATACCCTATTACTCTTCACGGAGACGCTTGATCAAGTGTGCGCTTTATTAAATACGACTCTATCCTATGGCAAATACTCTATTACCCTTCACGGAGACGTTTGATCAAGTGTGCGCTTAATTAAATACGGATGGTTGTTATGTACAAGACGTCATAGTTTATTACTTTGAATTTGAAATTTAATCGACAGTAATAATAGAACATTCAGTATAATAAATTAAATAACACATATCTGACTGAGAGGGTGATAGAGAAGATTGTTACCCCTCGAAAAGACATTGTCAACCTTGGCTTTGCCTCAGTTGACAATGTTTTCTCGGGGTAACAATCTGCTCTATCACCCTCTCAGCTATGTGTTATTTATATATTATTATACTTCACGTTAAAATGCCATATTTTGATTGGCTAATACAAGGGTGTTAATTTACTCTATCACATGGCTGAGCGGGTGACATTTTTTTTGAATGTCACCCTCTCGTCCAGACCAATAAAAAAATCGATAATTTAAAGGACAATGAATTTGAGTTTACATCAAGTAATTAAATACAATGCTTAAGTTCTACGTTTTGGCTCAGATTTTATTATTTGACTGTCATAATAAAAAATAAAACATCTTGCCTCACTTTTGTTGTTTTTTCTAATACCGGTAACGTTGTTATGTACGTGACCTCATAGAAAATACTTTTAAAATAAAATTAATCTGTAAAAGACAATAATGATAGGACATTCAGTTTAATAAATCAAATAACACATAGCTGAGAGGGTGATAGAGCAGATTGGTACCCCTCGAAAAAGCTTTGTCCACCTTGGCTTCGCCGCGGTTGACAATGTATTCTCGGGGTAACAATCTGCTCTATCACCCTCTCAGCTATGTGTTATTTATATAATGTAGAATACTTCGTAAATGTGAAATGATTTGCCATGAAGTCACGTGTCAGCGACGGCACAATTCTGTCTGCAAATTTGTATAGATATTGTTATAAGTGACCAGTCCCGTTAGTATAGACTGTCCCTGATGGTGGGGTACTCCATGGAAATCTTGCCAAAAGGTGTAATATAAAACTAATATTTTCATTGACCCGGTTCCAATTTTTGAGAAGACCATTAAACCTGCACTGTGGCATCAAAACAATATTTTCTCTACGAAGCATAATGAGATAAACCTTTTTTTTCTCTGTGTATTCTATATTTGTCACTGAACCTCACAATCAACAGTAAACTGCTTAATACCGGAAACCTTTAAACTAATCTCCCGGTCAAATGCGGTTAAAACAAAGCATTTCCGCATATCCCAAAATGGATTCAGTCTTCAATATACAAGTGACAATCATAGGTTTGAACGTTGTTTTCAATTTAGACTTAGTCTAAATTGAAAACAACGTTCAAACCTATGATTGCGTTGGAAAAAAACCGCAATTTTTATACGTGTATATATAAAAAAGAAGATGTGGTATGATTGCCAATGAGACAACTCTCCACAAGAGACCAAATGACACAGAAATTAACAACTATAGGTCACCGTACGGCCTTCAACAATGAGCAAAGCCCACAGTCAGCTATAAAAGGCCCCGAAATGACAATGTAAAACAATTCAAACGAGCAAACTAACGGCCTAATTTATGTACAAAAATGAACGACTCGATGATAACAAATATGTAACACTTAAACAAACGGCAACCACTGAATTACAGGCTCCTGACTTGGGACAGGCACATACATACTGAATGTGGCGGGTTTAAACATGTTAGCGGGATCCCAAAACAAATTTCATGGTAGAGGGGTCTAAATGTGAGGAAATAAAATTTACTTTATTTTGGCTGGGACTATTATACTAGTTAGTATAATAGTCCCAGATTTTGGTTAAAACGAACAATCTATAATTTAAGGATATTTTACAGTAAAGCGACTTTAAATGAAAGTTGTTAAGGATTGATTAAATTCATTGGTAAATACAATTCATAAAGTTTGTTATTTTATAACGGTCACTTTAGATTAATCATAATAAAGGTCAATATAACATGTAAAGCCTTAAACTAAGATAACTATTTACAAGTTCTTTATGCAACTTTTCTTCGGTCATATCGAATACACAATCTCGCCGCGATATAGCCTTGTTGTGCTAATGCGGCGTAAAGCAACCAACAATCAATCGAATACACACATAATTTAATTGATATATGGGTTGAACTTTATCCAGTTACACATGATTACAGAAGAAATCAAACAAAATAAGCGATGACCATTGTGCATGAGAAAGATTTTGTACGTTTCCAGATAAACATTGACCAAAAAGGTGAAAAAGTATATTTTAACAAACGCATTTGACTATATATAGATATAAGAAGATGTGGTATGAGTGCCAATGAGACAACTCTCCATCCAAGTCAAAATTTATAAAAGTAAACCATTATATACATGTATACTCATTTGACTATGTCTTGTGTTGTCCTATTGTGTCACTGTGCTCCGTCTGTATCCTGATAATATGCATGTCTTTAACTGATTTATTATGTTTGTCGGTCAAAAGCTCGCTCAGTGCTGGGACATAATATATAATAGTTCCAGTTCAGTGCTTATGTTCAATTGTTATTTAACTTGCCGACTTGAAATAAATAAAACTTATTTGATTCGAAAAAATATGTTCATTCCGCAATTCCTGATACTAGTATATGAATACCTAAGTAGCCCAGATAGCATACTTATACCCCCCCCCCCCCCCCCCCCACCTTGTATCTTTCAAGTCTTTCAAGTTAACAATCATTCGGTGGTTCATCAACTGATCAATGGTTGCTACCTGTCACATTTGTTTTACGTTTATTGGTTTGTCATAAATCAGGCCGCTAATGTTTTTGTGTTTGTTTTTGTTTTTGTTTTTGTTTTTTTCATTTGAATTGTTTTACATTTGTCATGTCGAAGCCTTTCATAGCTGACTATACGATATTGTTTTAGGCCGTACGGTAATCCAAGTTGTTTCCATCAATGTCATTTAGACTAGAGGATTGTTGTCTCATTGGCAATTATACCACATCTTTTTATTTTATATATAGTAAGTAAATTTTTAAGAACGGATGGAATCCTTTTCAGATGCATTGACAGTTTGCCCAATAAACTACAGTTGGTCGCGAAGTTAGAATGTGACCTAATTTTCAATAAGCGCGTAGTTGGTGTGCAACGTAGACAGTCTGGATCAAGATGTGCAAGTTAATATCATCCTATTAGCAACTACAAGGGCAGGGTTTTTTTTATTGTGTAACCACATTTCATACCTGTAGCAATCTAGGTTATCTGAACAATGCCTTGTTCATTGTTGTTCGTCTTTTCTCTCTCAAAGGATTCGGTTTATTGTTGACTTGTGTGGTCTGCTATGATTTCAAAGGATTTTGTATACCTTCCTTTTTAAATGATGTTCTCATTTCCATAAATACTTTTGACAGTAAGCGGCCCTCCTTTACAGAAATGTAAGTGTAAAACGCTCTTGATACTCTTTTGAAAATTAATTAATTATGTTGAAAGGTCAAAACTGAGTATGCCAATATTCATATAGCATTTTGTCAGAATATACTTGTTATATATATTTGTCTCTGGTGATGGCAACTTGTATGCAAATAAGTCCAATCCGGACTAAGGCATAATTATACACAATACAAAACCCAGACAGTTTACCTTATTCGTTGACCACTAAATGGTTCTTTCAGCTTTTCATAGTTTGACTTTGCTTTCTGAAAGAACAAGACAAAACACATATACAGAACAGGTAATATGAATATGTCAATGGTCCTTTCTTTGCTTGTCAAATCATATATAAATTGACAGGCGCGGAATGAGACATACTAGGAGTTCAGTATATATACAAAACAAACTTTTTAAAAATAAATCCAATACATTATCTTCAAATGAAAATTTAGAATGATTTGTATTAAAGGAGTAGGCCCAGTAAGACCCCTTTTTGGCCCTAAAATATAGCAGTTTTACAAAATTGTTAAAATGTAAATTTTTAGCTATTTATTGGAAAGAAGAATACTTCTGTTACATAAATATGGGCTGTTTTTGACAATACAATGCACATGTATCGGGTACTAGCATCATTAAGTCATGCTAAATTACTGAAATCTTCAAAATTTCAGCATTTTGGTTAATTTTTAGACGGTTTCCGTCTGAAATGGAAGTGCCCGCATTTGTGTTCATTCTTAATATTTAAATGTAAGTTGTATTTGAGGATAATACATAACATATATAAAGGTTGAGAATGAACACGGATGCGGCCACTTTCATTTTTGACAAAAACCATCTGAAAAGTGACATATTATGGCATATTTGATAGATTTTTCATATTTAAGCATGAATTTGAGCGTCTTTAATGACTAAATCAGTTCAAATCTTTCACTTAAACTAATTGAATCGACTGAAATAGACACTTAAGTGTTTAAAAAGTGTCCAAAATGTTTCATCAAATGAACCTGAATTTTGAGTCCAAAATCGGCCCTTACCGGACCTACTCCTTTGAAAAACAAACTTTTTCTCTTCAATTTAAACTCGAAAACAACTTTTTTGTTACGGCGCCCCTCTACATCAAATTTCTTTAACCTTTCCCCACCCACCCCTCATCATTAAAAAAATATGTAATAGAATTAAACAGACGAAACTATTCTTGTGGCAATCAAATTCTTTACGAAATGCAAGAGCATTATGCATTGCCTTACAGAATATCTATTTGAGTGTGTGGTAGAGACAACGAAGTTACGCTTATTATATTATTTACTAGGAAGATCATGCAATCAATCCAATTGTTCACTACATATTGAAATGGGTAACACCAAGCATATCATGCAGTAGTTTTACAGCTAACAGAAGGATGATTCCCACAACAAGCAAGCACATTTTATACACACTCAATATGATAAATGATTGTTCTTACAACTCCTGAAAATAAACTAATGTTTCGTGCGGGGCAATCCACTCACCCTTGAGACCAAGTATAGTCACACCCATAAGTAGATATACATCCGAGTACAAACAGATGATAAATCTTAAGAATACCTTTCTCTTGTTTCTGTTCTTTTCCTTTAAATGTACATAGCTGACCATTAATGTCAAAACAAACAATATCAAAAGATAACCTTGAACATCCATCTGCGATTCTTATATAAACACAACTTCATCAGAGAACTTGTACCGATGTGACTAATATTCTTATATAACGATACATATAAGTATGCACTATTTTGAATTAACCTTCAATTACATTCTTGGTAAGTGGCAAACAGGATGGGACCATTTAAAAACGCTTAACCTTATTATTATCACTCGGCTTTCAGTCAAAGGCCATTGAAATTTAGCTTTGGGTTAGGGAAAATCGGAAGTTAATGATAATCATTGGTCAATACTATTACTTAAATAAACCATTAAAATCAATGAACCATTTCATTTGTTAACTGTTATTTGCTTACCATCCAGTTGTAAAGATTTCTTGTATTTTAAGGACGATTAAATCACTTGAAATGCTTCAACCTATAAATGATTTGAAATGTTTCACAAATACTCTTGCATTTTAACTCAAATCAAATTAATTTCAAAGGTCCATAATAGGGAAAAGAGACCTGACCAACAATGATAAGCAGTACCAGGAAAAATGACAAAACACGAACGCGGCAAAGTCAAAGTTCGAACTTATCATTTGTGTTTTTGAGAAGGATAGAGGATAATTCACAAGTGCCTGAAAACAAGGAACATAGATTGTCTCTTGAATAATCAATGCTTATATTCTTTACAAGCTTCTATTCATTCAATTAATTTTCAGGCATAAGGATACTTATGCTTGCAAAGATCCATTCTAGTTATTCAAGTAAGAGGACGACCATCCTTTCATCTTTATTATACTGGATCGTAATCTCCGTGTTAATGCTATCTTTATTATACTGGATCGTAATCTCCGTGTTAATGCTATCTTTATTATACTGGATCGTAATCTCCGTGTTAATGCTATCTTTATTATACTGGATCGTAATCTCCGTGTTAATGCTATCTTTATTATACTGGATCGTAATCTCCGTGTTAATGCTATCTTTCTTATACTGGATCGTAATCTCCGTGTTAATGCTATCTTTCTTATACTGGATTGTAATTTCCGTGTTAATGCTATCTTTCTTACTCATGGTAGTGTATAGTGTACGCTGATATTTATTCTTATCCAAACCCCATGTTCGATTAAAACGTTGTCGACTCTATAGTGTTTCTCATTTTTTTGTGTGTGTACATTTTTGTGATCCAACTTCACATTGATAAACCGTACTGGTATATTTCAGTCCTATATCTGGCTACCTCCTAAGTGTTTTTAGGGGGGTGTTTGGTTGTTTTGTTCTGTATTGGGTTTAGTTTAGAAGAATGGACGGTTGTAAGGGCAGTTTACTTAACATGTCCTGTCCAACTGAAGTTTGTTTAGCAGGGTTTTGGCATATAGTTTCTGTTCTGTCATAGTTTCAAAACTGAATCTGTGAAGAGGATAACTAAAACTAAAAATATTCTGTTCCAGGCAGAACTGAGGCGATTTAGAGCTTGAATTTGACACTTCGAATTTGCAATGCCTATTGCATAAGACTGCATGTTGATCTCTAAATGTTTTGTTTTTTGGTTGACTGTGTAATCGCGAAATATATTTACCCCTTGAATGCCCGTCAGCCACGACAAAACTCTTCCTAAATGTTTTGTCCGTTTTATTGCGCGAGGTGTATTTTAGTACGATGACAAGTAAGGTAAATCAAATAATTTAATGGACCGAAATACCTCACGGCTAATTTTGGTCTTATTTTAGAGATACATAATACCATTTGATTAAGGCATGTCGTAGAGTGCCAAAGTAGTGCAGATTTTTAAAAACTGTGGTCAAAGATCAAAAGGGGGGGGGGTTAAAAAAATCGCAATTTTTTGAAATTTTGGACAATTTCTCGGTGGTCCTTTATGATAACTGAGAACACTTTTCTATGGAACCATGCTCTGGAAATGTTGCACAAATTTAGTTTGTCATAATGTATGCCTGATTTCCAGAGATAAGTGATGTATACATTGCTTCCAACATGCACGAAAATGAAAAAAAACAATCTACGGAAATTAACGACAACAAATATTCATATTTAAAAAGTAAAATCACAAAAATACTGAACTCCGATGAAAATTCAAAAAGGAAAGTGCCTAATCAAATGGCAAAATCAAAAGCTCAAACACATCAAACGAATGGTTAACAACTGTCATATTCCTGACTTGGTACAGGCATTTTCTTATGTAGAAAATGGTGGATTGAACCTGGTTTTATAGCTAGCTAAACCTCTCACTTGTATGACAGTCGCATCAAATTTCATTATATTGACAAAACAAACAGACACAATAGGTAAAAATGTCAAAAAATAAGGGTACAGCAGTCAACATTGTGTTATCATCTTAATCACTATAAAAACAAACAAATGTAACAAAGAAGCACAAAAAGGCATACATCAAATTTAACATCCTCATTTTGCTTTTTTATTATACGATATGCAATAATATATGACAACATATAAAGATATTTTTGGAAAAGTTTTGTTAACATGCCTTAACGATCAAAGGAGTACTAATGACATCTTTACCCTAAATTCATTGGACGTTGGATGTGTACTGATTTATATTTTAGTCTTAGAGACATGATTTTTTTTTATTAGTTGTTATTGGTTTTGATCTAGCTTTCAGGAACTGCGAGTACTCTCAGATCTGTACTTAGTGTCTTTTTGTTGTGGGGATGTATAAGAACCCGTCCACGTCCACTCTCTGTTTTTGTTAGATGTATTTATATATGTATCCATCTGATGAGTTAAGGATGTTCGCTACTCTGTTTCTTTTTAAAAGATTGTTATAGATTGATAGTGTATAAATAATGAAACTAAAAAAGCAGAAAAAAATGAAGGGTCTGTGTGCTTGTTTTCGAGATATAAGCCATTGAAAATTTGGCGGGAAATAATTCTCTCTAGATGTTATATCCCTAGAATAATTAGTGATTTTGTAAAACCACTAACAGTTTCAGTGATTTTGTAAAATCCCTGAAAATGTCAGTGATTTCGTAAAATCACTGAAAATATTGCCAGGTATTTTGTAAAATCCCTGATTGCAAGTTTGAACTTGATATTAGGAATGTGTTTTTCATAATACAAATAAACAATGATTTTGATTTTGAATTTTAATAAATAATACTAGTTAAAACTATTTTACAGTGACTATGAATAATAAAAATATATGAGCTGTTAAATGTAGGACTACAATTTTACTTATTTTTGCTTAAGATTTGATATCGTTATCTGATGAATGCCCGGCATTTTTTAAAGATTTTTTTCACATCTCTACATTGAAAAACTTTATACCTACATTAAACAAATGTTTACTTGTAATTTGATTTGAATCTAAAGAGTGAAGAAAGTATAAAAACTTATTTAATCTTTTATCACTCTATGAATGAACACATGTATAAGGCCGTATCTGAGATATGACCAAAGTAAGAAATGCAAGTACAAAACAAAGTATTTTTACCTATACTTATATGTTGTCTATTTGTTTTACTATTAATATTTTGTGGATATAGATGTCTTTTATGGGCTGCAAATTAATAATACAACATTTATTTGCTTTTTATATATTAATTTTCATGTCACAAAAAGATACTCTCGTCCCGATATGCATGTAATATCTGCCACTGGATCACTGTGACAAATCAATTTCTTACTTTTTCCATGTGTTTTTCTCCTCTCATTACGGCAATGACTCCAATGTTTGTCTTTGTATTTGATTATAAAATTTGACATACTTGGTATATACTTTTAAGTAATTACAGAAGCACTATATAATAAACTTTAACTTAGTTTCGAACAAGGTAATAATAAAGAGCTTGTTTTGTCTTCTTTCTGTGGATTTTTAGCAAAAGGTTTTAAAATTTCTTCATATTTTTCTTGGTTCAATATTTTACATTTTAATTTTTCCCTCATTTATTTGAAGTAATTTTTGTGTATAAGTTTGCTCTTGATTTAAAGACATATGTGCCCGAGTCATTTTTCTACAGTAAGTCAGTTGTTTTGTGAAAATTGTTCACTAAGTATTAAGTATATAGTACTAAGGCTAAATTAACCTCAAACTTGTTTAGTGTAACTGCTGTAGACTTTTTTTTTTAAAGAATTGTTTAATCAAAAAGAATTATTTATTTTACAAATTCACTGAATTCAATCAGGGAATCTGTAAAAAAGATCGTAATTATTTCAGTGATTTTGTAAAATCCCTAGTCAAAATCAGGGATTTTATAAAATCACTAAACAGTTCAGTGATTATACAAAAACCCTGAAATTTCAGGGATTTTACAAAATCCCTGATTTTACAAATTCACTGTAACATATACATTTAACATTGGCACCTTTTTCTTTCAAAAACGATGAAAAAATAACAAGGATTTTATAAGATTTTCAAAGATGACATTTTAAACTATATGCAATCAAATTATGGAAAGAAAAGTAGGGGTTAGTGGGCAAAATTTTGTAATGGCACTACATGAATAAAACCAGAGGATTCCGAATATCTGGCAAAAATTCAAAATCAAGAGGAGCGAACATCCTTAAGCCTTTTCAACTGATTTTTATAGTTTGTTCTTATGTTGTACTGTTACACCATTGTCCCAGGTTATGGGAAGGGTTGAGCGCTCACAAACATGTTTAATCCTGCCACATTTTTTATGTGCCTGTCCCAGTCAGGAGCCTATAGTTCAGTGGTTGTTGTTGGTTCATGTCTGTCATATTTGTTCTTCGTAAATTGTTTTGTTATAAATTAGGCCGTTAGTTTTCTCAGTTGAATTGTTTCATATTTTTCATGTCGGGGCCTTTTATAGCCGACCATACGGTATGGGTTTTTCTCATTGTTGAAGGCCGTAATGTTGCCTATAATTGCTTACATCCACTTCATTTGAACTTCGGTGGATAATTGACCCATTGGCAATCATATCACATCTCTTTATTTTTATACTGTAAATTTAACACCCGGAACATGATTCAATGAAAAAAAATGATGAAATTCATAATTGATTTTTAAACCCAAAAGATTGTTGGAACTATATAGAATAGTCTTGATGCATGAATGTCATCATGAAGACGATAGTATGTAAATTTTATTTATGTAA